TAAGTCTTGTACCAGAATTCCTGCCTCTTTAACACAGTTAATCATCTTATTAAGTTGATTCAAGATTAATACCCAACACCAAAACACCACTCAGTGAACAACAAAAGGGAGCAAAACTGTGAATGTGCTTGTCCAAAGTATTATACAGACACCAAGCCTCAAAGCAACAGTAGTAGAATCCACTCCTTTTATAGCTCAACAATAAAAAAGGAACATGAGACAACTGGTTATTCTCTTGGTAGAACTAAAGAATGGTCTTTCTGCTTTCTGAAGTTCACTTGTGGTAAGAGTTCCTCCTCCCCTCTAGTCTGAACCTTCTCCTGCTGCAGCGTGCCACTGCCATGGGGCTACTCTGGCTAAAACTGAGCTGAGAACATGCCCTGTTCAAACAAATTAGGCCAATACAATTTACAGAAAAAACTCTTCTGAACTCATAGGCAAAAATCCAGCAGGACAGTTCTGGTTTGCCCATGTTAGTGACTGCTTTGAACCTGTTCAGATCTTGATGTTAATACCAGTAGTGGTACCAACTTCCAGTGGGGCTTAAATACATACACACAGGTAACAGAACTCACCACTTGCAAAGAGCACTTGGAACTCTGTATCTAAACTCACTGCTCCCTGATCATCTCCTGAAATACTACACTGGAAGATAGGACAGCCAGATAAGTTTTTCTATCAGTTTCTCCCTGCCAGGCAGGTTCCAGTTTGTATCAATACAAATATTTTCCTTTAGAGTTTCCAATAAGGTTACTCAAAATGTACAGTCTTCATAAGGCATCCCCCAAGTGATAATGCTGTAAACCCTCACAACCTGGTATGAAAACAACCAACCATTCTCTCCTGATCTATTTATAGATTCAGACTAAGACCTGACCGAATGATTTAATCTTTTTCTGGGGCACACAGAACCCAATAACGTTTGATTAAACTGCACCTTTCAGAAAGAAAAGGGAACTTGAGGCAGGTTCATTAGTTCTATGAAGAAAAACACTTTGAAACAAACCCCCAGCAAGCTATGGCATCACTGCAGTTCAACAGCAATGGCTTCTGCAGATCAGCCACACACAACTGCAGGATTTTTCCCTAAGCTCCAGCATATCCTTACTGGAGTGCTGCAGCTCTGAAATTACTGCAGGAAAGGTGATCCCTTTTGCAGAATCGTCTAAGGAGGCATCACAGCTTGGAAACACGTGGAAAAGAAAGCCCTCGAGAGCCCTGCCCTCTCATCTGAATGGGATTTCACTGCTTCTTCAGGGAAAGAGCAGAAGTACCAGTGAGGTGAATCACTGTCCAGAACTCTTCACACAGTGCACAAAGGAAGTCTGAGAACCATCCAAAATAAATGGGAACTTTCCAACACTTGCTTCTGACTTTCTTCAGGCTTTGACAGCAGTACAAGGACAAGGGGAATGCACCTCAGCAAGAGACTTATCCAACAACCCAGTTACAGAAACACAACTTCAAGCTCTTGCCAACCCCAATGAACAATAGGAAGGCTTCAAATCCCTCTCTTGGAAAAGATGAGCTCCCACAGCAACAGGAGAGCATTAGGCACAAGCACTTCCAATGAAGTGCTCATTCCTATGGAAGCAATGACCATCTGCTTAGCTTTGCTGCTGCTTATCATGTTCGACAGCCAACAGTCTTAAAAAAACAAACCCTGACAAGATTTTCTAGATGGTTTGAACACATTCTCTGGACTTAATGGACTTAACGAAAACATGCCCCAACACAAAAGGACAATTCATTACTACTGGAAATGACTGTGACAAGATGATCTGTTCCTCTGCCCCCATCAAGTGATAATCATTCAAGCAAGAATCTTCCTGCTCTTTAAAGCTGATTTCTTCAAGAACTTCAACCCAGTCAAACGAAAACTATCCTTGTGGTGTCATCCAAGAAAACGGGGCCACAACGCCACAGTTGCCAGCAAAATTGTTACAGGAAAGAAGGCTGGCAGTGAAGGGAGCAGAAATATTCACAGCAGCATGAAAGGGAAGGTTCCTCAGAGGTTTCCAGGTGATCTCAGTAGCATAAAATCACCAGTCTCTGGGAGGATCATACAAAGTCCACCAAATGCTTTGCTCATACCTCTACAGATTGAGCAAGTATTTTACTTTAATCCCTCCGAAACATTTGTCATGATGGCAGCACCTTCTGGCCCTGTGACATTGGGAATTGGTTATTTTCCACTCCCTTTTTCAGGTTAGGGGTGAGGTTTAGCCCCACCTTGGGCTCATGCAAGCACATGAACATGAATTTCAGTTACCATGCTCAGTTCTGCCTTAAAATGGCAAGTCCAGCCCAAAATTACAATATTGGCTCATGATGATGCAGAGGAAATGAATCCCAGTTACTTCTGAGAGTAGGTGCAGTGATCGGATTCTGGGTGTTTTTTTTCTTTTTCTCTTACTAAAAAGAATGCTTATAAAAACATATCACAAGGAAAAAAAAAAGAAAGAAAAAGCAATGGACTTTCCTTGATTAGTCATTTACTAAAAAAAAGAATTAGAACAAACCACCACAGTACAAAGTCTTGTCCAACAAAACTGGTCCCAAACCATGAAGGGTCATGAGTCCCACACACTGCATATAAACACACTGAATTGAGAAAAATGGGCCACTGAGTTGGACTTGATACTTGAGTGAGGTTAGTCAGTGATTGCACATCACTTACTTTAAATGCAATGAGAAAATTTTGGTTCTGAAAGTGCTTTTAGATTTCTTTCTCTGCATTTGTATTTCACACCCCTTTCCTTCCCTTAGGAGATTGCTACAGTCAGCACCCAGAGAATTTCCTTCCAGCCTCGATACAGTTTTTCCAGCAGGATGGCAGCTACATTTTAAGCCCCTGAGTCAAGTTGGGCACGTTCACTATGAGGCAGATCAGCTCCCTCACCACTTTTATTACAGCCTTTCAAATCTTTTAAGCTGCATGCATTAAGTGGTAAACACCAGGGAACAGGAGGTGAAAAAAAACCAAAACCAACCCACATTCTCCTCCAGCAGAAATTTCAGTTTCAGAAGAACGGACAAACTCACTGAAGTGCTTTGCTTAAAAGCTTTCCTCACAACTGGAGCATCAGTAAGAAAAAGCTAAACGCACAATCATGGTTGATAATCCTATTAGGACAATAAACTGGGGGATGGGAAGAAACTGGAAAAGGATATCAATCCTCAAATGACTACTAAGGAAAATGGTAAAAATAGAGAAAGCTGCTGCTCGGCAGAAAAAATTCAGGTTCCAAAATGGAACCCCTAAATCTCTGTAAAAAGATTGAGCTCACCTGCTCTCTTACTAAGAGAAACTTAGATGTAAATAAAGTACAACTTGCCTAAGGAAAACACAATGTTTTTAAGCTTCATCTTGTTCAGCAAGAGCTGGAGCCCTGGAAAACACCAATCTTCCTATTTTTTGTAAATTGGCCAAGTTTTTCAAATTGCTTTCTCTTAAGTGTACCTTCACAGCACCAGCATTTTATCACCCTTCCACTCTTCTTTTCCAACGTATTCCTTGTTCAAACTAACTTTACTTTGCTTCTTGAGCATATGTTGACTGAGAAAGCCTTGGTTGCCCTCCCGAGCTGCTGAATCCATTTGCAGCTGGAATCGGGCTGAGCCTGAAGTCCTTCAGAGATGGAATTTGCCTGAGTGCTGGCCCGTTCCTTACCACAGTGGGTTTGTTTAAGATACATCAAGACCTCACAGAACCTTTCCCACCAGGCTCACACAGCCTCTGTCACATGAAGATTTTAAGCAAGTCCTTTTGCTCTGGGGTAATTCTACTTGAGCTGCTTCACACAGAAAACCAGAAGTTTCACCACAAAGCTGTGCAGTGGCTGGGAGAATTCTACTCCCAAGAACTTAGATTTCTGTAAGTTTATAGAAATAAGCCACAGAGTCAGGATTTGTCACTCTTCCCACAAACTTCAGAGAAAAACAAATGAAAGATAAGCTTTCTGTCTGCTCCACGCAGCAAAATTAGCTGCTTTGGAGGCTGGAGACAGCCACATCCACTTTCAGATGCTCTGACCTTCACAGGGACCACAAGCATCTCTTCCTTAAGCAAAGGGGGCTCCCTCACTGCAGAGAGAATGCTTTTCGTGGCTTTTATTAAAAAAAGAAAAAGATTAACTGTACAGAACTCCACAGTGATGTCAACACCTCTTCAGGACACACACCTCCATGTCAAGCAACAGCATTTTTCCCACAATGCCTAACACATCAATGAATTAACATTTACATGTTAATAATTTACAGTAATAACAACTGGTGATGTTGGAAAAGACAGAAGATCAGAGATAAAAATTTATCTTTTTCTACATATCAGAACGTGGTGGGTTTGCCATCAACATTCCAAGGAACTGTACCAAAGCAACCCAGGCAAGAGATAAGACACAAGTCAGGAGGAACAGCAGCCAAAATACTGCTCTAAGCAATGGCCACCAAATTAGACTTGTGCCCTTCCCTTTCACAGAGTTTGCACTGGTTTGCAAAACAACATGAAATTTGATGTTTCCAGATCAGTTCCTCCATACTTTAAAAACATTTGCTGCACAGCTGCTGACAGTGGTCCTTGACAAGAGGAGCAGTTGCTACACCTCTCCCTTCAATCCACAAGTGTTTCTCACAATGTTCACATTGCTTTAGAAGATGCTGTTGTCTGGCAGATAAATCGAGATCCTGCACATGAGAAATCATCTGCTGCTCCCTTTCTGCAGGATTACACTACTCTTTTCTAATTCACCCTGCTAAGATACCCTCCAACTTTTAACTTCAAGGATGTCTTTTTCAACAAGTGCTTTCATTTCTGATTACATGAGTAGCACTGCCTCAATTATCTTGCTTTCACCACATCACTGGTGACTGAAGCTACAGACTCAAGAAAGCACATCCTTTAGATCTGTTCCAGAAAAGGGCCTACTGCGTTTCCCAAACACCTGTATGGAGAAAAAGCAAGTGCAATAAACAGAATACATGAAATAGCATGTACATACTTTAGTCATTGCTCCTGTCTGTGCTGTGTTCAGCCCGGTGTGCCCAGCCATCTGTGGAGATACTTGGGTTAAAGTCTCTGCCAGCACACTGCCTGCATTCCCCTGCATGGCAGGGGCAGAATATTGCATTCCTGCTCCCCTTCCTCTTCCAGCTGCCCCAAGAGATCCATTCATTACCTGCCCTTGTCCTTGCTGAGGCTGATTCATTAAAGTGTGACCAGAATTACTGTTGAGAAGGCTCTGGTGTGTCTGACTGAAATTAGTATTCATACATATCCCAGGTCCAGTCTGTGATGTTGCAGGGCTGCTCGTCACCATCCCCACTTGTTTTTGTGCTTGAGAGTTCAGGGTTTGGGATGCAGGTGTGGTAGGTCCAGAGGTGCTGGCTGCCTGCTTGGCCAGGCCCGCAGCAGACGAGTCTCCCGGGTTCAGAGGGCTCTTACCCATCGCTCCCAGATTCCCGAGGTTCGCGCTGTTCGGCTGCCCTTGCACTTGAGCGCCGACTCCCTGCTGCACGGGGCTGCTGGAGTTCACATTGCCCATTCCTGGGTTTAAGGAAGAGCCGCTGCTTCCCCTTAGAAGTTCAGAAAGTTGTTTGTGTTTGGAAGCTGCATCTGGAACGAGGTTCCCACCGCTGTTCAAAAGGCCCAACTCGCCATTGGGGATCAGCTCATCAGGAAGATCATTTTCCAAGTCAAACAAAGATCCAAAATCTACAAGTTAAAACAGAAACACGAGTGAGAAAACACGACAAACAAGTAGCTAAAATATTTCTCTTCATTACTTTGTACCAGTGTTAACAATGACAACCATTCAGGTACATCTTTATCCATGACTCAGGTTGCCAGGAAGCGAGTGAGGGTCCCTGTGACACGAACTCGAACTCCAGAGCCTTTCAGAGCCACTGCTGGTACACACTGTGCACACACAACCATCGCAGGGAAGAGCGAGCACTGGCCAACAAGCAGGTTTTCTGGCAAGACTTGACAAAACAAAGCCTAAGAAAACTAAGGTGGCAAGAATACAATGACCTAACTCTTAATTCCCCTGGTTTTGGCTAAAAGATGACAGCGGAAACAAGAGATTTTTTCCTGTTGATTTACTCTCCCAAAAGAGCCATTAAATCACCTCTTCCGACCTCCTCTGTAATCCCAAGCCACTGAATTTCACCCAGCAATCCTCCCTCAACCCTGTCATTCATGTGTGCACACGGCCAAAGAACATCTTCCAGCTCAGCTTCAAAGCTTCACCAAAAGACAACAACTCCTCCTTCAGCAGTTCGATCCCAGCCTCACACACAAACACGCTTAAGATCACTTTCTGCTCACTGATTCCTACCATGATCCACTACTTCACAAGATCCCAAAATGCACTCAGCACTTTCTCCTTGTAATGCCTCTTGAATCAAGCCACTGCTTGATTCCTGAACGGCTCAAATAATGCAAATTGCTTTGTAAGTGCCCAGCCCTCATTTATCATGCCCAATATTGACAGAGGTAATCCACACACTCTCCAGATGAGTAAAATAAATCAATCAAATCTTCCTTGAGCCACTTGAAGGAACAGCTCTGCCTGGTTGGAACATACAGACCAATAAAAACGTGGTAGGGCTTTCTTTTCTTTCTGCTTTAAGGAGCAACTCAGGTTCACTACAATATTTTTTTGCACATCATAAGCAGCATCTGTGCAACGAGGTTATTTTGGTATGTAACTAAAAACCAGAAAGTTACCTCACTGTATATAGGTACTTCCATGTAAAAATAAAAGTTATATATCTGAAGACATAAGGACAAGCACAAGCAATATTAATAAGCACCTACACAGACCAGCCACAGTTCACCAGAGTAGCTGTTCAGATACACAGCTCATCTCAGAAGATTTTCCCAGTCCAGGGAATGTGATCTAAAACAACCACTTCCCACTGTAACATAAATGTGTGAAAATTCTATTTTGCCCCCCCAAACCAGCCCTGACAAACTCATGTTCCTCACAGTGAGCAACAGACAAACCACATTTTTTCCAGGTTAGAGCAAAGAAAAGATCTTTACTAAAGAAGGGAATCCCAAAAGCTTCATTGTTTTAAAGTTTAATTCACTCTTCAGTCTCAAGAAGCTGGTGCAAGACCCAGGCTGCAAAAATGATGTAAGATGGTACATGGAAAAGAAACAACGAACCCCAGACAACACATAACCCGTATCACAAAGCAGGGATGCATAACAACAAATCTCAGTACACTTAAATACCACGCATTTCACCAGCATGTGGATTTCCAATTCACCCTAACTGAAGGAAAATCAGTAAAAATGTTCAGATTTACAGCGACCAGCGAATTATGTCAACAGCCACAGTAAACACAGGCAGAAACGTTAAACTCAGCTGTTCTGAAGGCTCACAGCAGCACATCCTTCAGGGACCCACACCTTGCCATCAGCACCCACTAGAGTCAATAATCCCTCCAGGACTGCACCAAGTTGGCTGTGACAAGATACACCCCTGGCTCAGAACAGACCCCTTGCTCCCTTCCAAGCTGGCAAGTAACAAGCTAATATTTTCACTAGCAAGGTTCAATAAAATATTTTTAATTTCTCTTACTTGCTGCCTTTCCTTTTGGCTGTGTAGTTCACCTTTTCAGTTTGCTTCCTACAGAAATTCCTGCTGTGCCTTCAGCTCCCTTCCAGCCTGCGATTGCTTCCTCCCTCCTCCTTCCCACACCACACTCCACACTGACCTGCTGCACTTTGTCTCTGCCTATGCCTTTTGCTTCTACTTTCCTTCTTCCAAGATTTCCCTGGTTTTCACCACCTCTCACCCTTCCTGATGAAAAATCCACTGGTTGTTTGGGGTCCAGCCCACTTTGTCCACAGGTGTTAGTGTTTCATCAGCAAGAGATGTGTGTGCGTGCAGGGACAGGGGCAGAGGGGTGACAAAATGGGGAGGGGGAAGATGCTGCTGTTGCTTAAAGGTAGTATTTTCCAGCTGCATTTCCAAATGGGATGCTGGAGTATAAATGCTCAGTTTTATTTTCTTTTTTTCTTGCTTGGCTGGTTGGACTCTCTCAGTCTTGCCAGAGCCAAGGACTGGAGATGTTTTTTTGCAGTTTACAAAAAGAGTGAAGAAAGTATTTGGGAATGCAGCCTCTTAAAACCTGAAATAATCTACTGCCCTTAAGCTCCTGTAAGAAGGCTGTACATTAAGGTTAGGTATGGAAAACATACAGTTCTGCCAGCAGGAAAATAAAATGCAGGTAAACAACTTAGCACAGCGGTCGTGTAAAAATTCACCGAGAATTCAAACGTTCACAGAGTGATTAATCATCATCTTTTATATTTAATCAGAGCCATGTACATTAAAAACACCAACACAAGGCACATTTTACGACAGTTATAAAACACAACAGAAAACAAAAGAATCTACTTGAGCACGTCTGCAACAAATCCATAAAGATGAGAGATTGCCTTGGCAGTTATAAAAAGAATAAATATATTTACACGCATATAAAAATCTGCCATAATAAAAACACGGCCTATTTCTCCTGACAGAAAAATGAAAAGCAACTGCAGTCCTTCCATCCTCACGAGAAGAACATAATTGATCCCATTCTCGATGCTTCAACTATTTCTCAAAGTCAAAGGCAGCTACCAAGAGCCCAAAAACGGAGGGATGCCTTTGCCTTACACACACTGACCTCGAAGCAATGCCCAGGAAACAGCTCTGCTGAGGAGCCCCACTGCAAGCAGCGAGCTCTGGAGCTGCTCCATCCCTCCAAAGCACGGCAGAGCGGGAAAAGTGATCTGGATGTTAAAGGAGAACAGATTCCCCAGACTCATAAGGCACATACCTCTAATCCAGCACTCAGGAGGCAGCAGAGCTGACTAAGTCTGTGGAGAATCACCTCACAGTGTCTTGTCTCTTAACACAGCACTTCTGATCCTACACCTCGTGCCTGTCATCACCTCTGTTACATAAAACCAAGCATCCTCACCAAAGAACACAGATGACATGTTTTTTGGAAGGCATGGAAAAGCACTAGGCAACTACCACCCCCCCCACTCTTTCCAAAAGGCTCCTTCTCCAATTTGAGCATCCTGCGTTCCCTGAGCAGCTATTTTCACACATGGAAGATAACCACACTTGAGACACTTTCTCTCCTAATTTCAGTTTTATGAGCTTAAATGTCACAGTTTTCTGCCTTCCTGGACAACACTTTCAGAAATCAGAATAAAAAAAGATGTTCTGTTTCCTTCTAAGTCTTTTGAGAAGAAAAAAAAACCCAAACTGTGCGGCATCCTCAAGGATTCTCATCTGTATGACTGTGACTGTTATCAGGAGACTTTCTTAATATACATATTCAATCAATTTAACTGTTTCAATATCACCATTTTTCCCCCTTTAGCCGAGCCTGGAGAGGTGACAAACGTTCTAAGGTGTTTAGTTACGTGACTTCTTATCTCACACAGCAAGCAGGAGCAGAACTATCAAATCCAGTTTCATTTTTTCCTGCACAATCTCTGCTTGAAACGTGACTGGGAGTTTTCCTGTCACAACCTGACTGTCCATGCAGGGAGCAGGCACTGGAGTCACACACTGCAGTCCAGCACACAGGCAGTATTTTCACCGTGCCTTTCTTTCATGCCAACATAGCTGTTACATTTCAGTGAGCCCAATTTTGTTTTGTAAGGCCTCTTTCAATCACGCCAGACCCCAGCAGACAAAGCCTCAACAGTTCAGAGTTCCAGCCATTCCCTAAAATTCGCTGTCAGGTAGCTCTTCTCAATAGCCACACTGTTTGGTGCAGTCAGCAATTACCACCTCCATTCCAAACTCCTTTCGAGGCTTGAGGATTCTGTAATTTATTGTTTTATAAAAGCAAATTACAGCATTTAATGTTTTACAGCAATTAAACAATGAGTTCATGGAAAATATAAAATTTCCAGTGAGGAAACTTCACATTAGTGTCTTTACCTAACAAGACACAGGAAGACTGTGATGCATCTGACCTTGACTGTCAGCAGAACAGCAACACTTCTTCAGAACACGATGTTTAACAAGCTGGTTGAAAACGATGGTGATGAGGGAGTTGGCTGGGTCAAGGAGACCCAGCTGGGTGGAGGGTGGTGAGGGGGAATGAGAGATCCAGTAGCAGGGATCTGGGTGAGTTTCAACAACTGATGGCTTGCATAATAAGAGATCTGAATATTTAAGTGAATTTCTTCCTGCCTGATTGATTGAACTACTTGCATTTGGGATGAGAAAGGAATATGGTCTGGTTTGCTCATTCCTAAGTCAGTGGACTGGTCAAAACTCAAATACGTCGATACGTGGAAATGAGCCTGACCTTTTGGAAGTCTTGGTACTTGCCTCTAGGAAACTCATTGGAATCATTATCACAGCACTCTCTCGCTCACACACCCACAGTCACAGGGGTTGGAAAGGATGTCAGGAGGTCTGTCTGCAGCCCAGCCCCTCAGGCTCCTATCAGAAGGCACTTGCTCCAGCCCCCAACCTCCCTGTTAGTCCTTCACTAAAGTCACTCCAGCTCCTTCATGACCTTCCCAGTGATGGCAGGGGGCTGACCAGTCTGCAGTTGCCTGTATTGTCCTCCTAGCTCTTCTTGACAATTGGTATAACACGTGCCTTCTGCTGGGACTTTAGGGATGGGGGATTGTGAAAGAAGCACTCATTCTACCATGCTTCCTTTGCAACTTGTTTTCTG